TAACTAAACCTAGAAATGTTGTATTATTAGCATTCCGCAGTAATTGTCCATTATATTTAATATTTATGTCAAAATTTAAGTTATTAAAATTAATAATATGCGTCTTACTTAAATTAATGTGTAGATTATTTTTATTTAACCATTTATCTATTAAATTCACTGTTTTAATTATGTCTGTTTTATGTTGCTCTGGTGATTTTTTCTTACTTGTCGTAATCGTCACTGAGATGTCATCGGCGAATAAAGTGATTTTGTAGTTTGAGACATCGGGTAAATCATTTATATATAATATAAATAGCAATGGTCCTAGTATACTACCTTGGGGAACGCCAAAAGTGTTTTTTTTTAATTCCGATCTATATACCTGAGCTATTTTATTTCGATCTAATTGTGTTATTTCAACACACTGTGACCTATTTTTTAAATAGCTTTCTAGCCAGCTGTAAGCAGGACCCCTTATTCCATTAGCCTCTAATTTGGCAAGTAATTGATCGTGTGAGACACGATCGAATGCTTTAGACATATCAAGAAATTTTTTTGATTCACATTTTGCAAGACTTCCTTTACTAACGTAAACGCAGCATGTGTTGTCGATTTCTTTTTTATGAAACCATGCTGATTTTGTTTTATTACATTAAATTTAGTGAAAAAGGAAGTAAGTTGGTAGTGTATAACTTTTTTCGAATAATTTTGAAAGGACTGGGACTATTGCTATTGGTCGATAGTTAGTTATATCACTTTTATCTCCCTTTTTGTGTAACGGTTTTACTATTGAAAATTTTAATTTGTCAGGAAAAGTCCCTGCTTCTAGAGAGAGATTAAAAAATCACAGTGCTTTAATATCTCTGTACTAGTGGCTCCAGAAAAGATTGATCCTGTGGGGATATAAACATCATTCCACTTGCCATCCCTGGTATTTATAAGTGATGCAGACAGTCCCTTTAGTAGTTCATCTCCAATAATGTAAATTAATCTGTTTTTCTTTTGCTTGTATATATTACTGCCATCTGTTGGGGTTCCGCGAATATTATTTAAATCAGAGTTTGCATCGATTTGTTTTTCGGGTTGTTTAATATTGTTTGTTTCTATGGTAGACGAAGCTGACGTACTTGCATGTTTAGTTGATTCATTTTCGAGTTTTTTAATATTTTCATCATCTTGGGAAAAGTCTAACTTTATTTTTATCAAACTTTGTTCCCTTTTTTTTAACACTTTTTATTTGTGGATTTGCATATGTGAGTTAACTGCTTAATTTTTAATTCATATTCGGAAATTCGTTTTGTAAGTAATTGATAGCAAATTTTCAATTTCATTTTCGGCTATTTCCAATTTTTGTTCTAACTTGTATGTTTTTTCTTTTAATTCGTCGATTTTGTAATTTGTATTTCGTTGAATTTCTGTATAGCTTCTATTTAAGGTGTTTATTGGGGTTGAGGTTAAGGACGAGTAATCACCTTCTGTGTCTTCATCGGAGATAATATAAGGCCAACTTGAACAAACACAGTCAATTACAATATTCTTGTAAAATTCCCTCATATGCACTTCAAGATTTAATTTTGCTTCTTATAAGTGTTGCATCAGAACTAGATTGTATTTATATATAAGAAAAAAAACACTCTCTGCACAACTTGGATAAGTGGTTCATTTGTAACCTTGTAAGGTTGGGCTCTGACCTAATCCAAATGGTTTGCATGCATATTCAATTTTTAGTTCACAACTAGCAAGCAATGCTAACATGATCATTTGACAAAATCTGAATGTTTATTAAATAGAATACAAATTTGTAATAGCACTTTACGGTGGTAACGCCATGCAGCAGCCTCGGCTGTTGCACGAATGGGCAGGCCCGTCCGGGTAAGTACCACGACCTCACAGAAGGCCAGCTTAAAGTGGAAGTATGACAAATACTTTCACGTTTCGTCTGGTGAGTGAGGTAGCCGGAGCCCAATTTTCAAAAGGTTGTCAACGCATTTGTAACCCTCGGGTGTAGCAGATGTCCATGGGCGGTGATATTCACTTAACATCAGGTGAACCGTCTGCTCGTTTGGCAACTTTTAACTTAAAAAAACACTTCTGAAATTTCAAGTACAATATTTTCAATTCCAGACGTACTTTGAAAGTGGTTCTAGATTTAGCCTAAAAAGCTAACCAAGGTAACCATAAATATAAGTATCTCATATATGTTATTTTAATCTATAGCAACAGATGTCAACAGAATTTAAATACAAATAAAGTTAAATAAACCAATGATCCAAAATGAGTTAATGTACCGAACTGTAACTCATTTTACTAGTTAAAACTGTTTTAGTAAGGATATTTTACTATTTTATCACTATCAACCATTCTTATAATAACTGGTCTACACCAGATTTTACATGTAAACAAAAAAATGTATTGAGTGAATGAACTTGATCAACTATAATCTAAACCCTTCTTATGTTGGCTCATTAACAATAATATTGGGCAATTGTATTGAACTAAAGCTTTATAATATTTCCATGTAAAACATACTGTAAAATTGTAATAGTTCCATGCGTTGTGACTGAGATCTACACTCTTATGCATCGTGTATAGCAATACCGTATAAAAAGTTGCATTACAACACAATTGTGACAAGCACAATTGGGTACAAACGTAGCAACGGAAAATGACTCCATTATGCAGTACGGGTTGTATAAAAATAGGAAAATGGCATGAATCTTATTCTTACACAAGGCAAAAAAAAATGAGTAATATGTAACAGATTGGTCAAATTAACATGTCAACTGTCAATGTCATTATTCGTAATCGTAAACAAAAGAAATCAAAATAGAGCTCATAAAGTCAGTATAAAGTTAGATCATAAAGTCAAAGCTTAAAGTTAATGTGCTGAAAAATCGTGGAAAATTATTACAACTAGTCTGGCCATAAATACAGGACTCTGTACCTGGTCATAAGGCACGAACTACCCAAGCCTGGCTTGAAACCAACGTTCCGGACTTTATAAGAGTTGAAGACTGGCCCTCATCTAGCCCAGACTTCAACTCTTTAGACTTCAAATTATGGTCAGTTTTAGAGGGCAATTATGGTCAGTTTTAGAGGGCATGGCCTGCTCTAAACGACACGGCGAAATTGAGTCTCTTAAAAAAAACTTTGGAGCAAGCAGTGGCGAAATTTCCCTTGAAACAGTACGTAAATCCATAGATTCGTGGCCAAACAGATTAAAGGCCTGTATAAAAGCTAAAGGTGGCCATTTTGAATAGAATTTTTTTTTATTTTTTGCTGAGACGTTAATAAATTTGTAGGTATACATTTTAATAATATTACATTACTTAATTTAAAAAAAAATGCATTTTCATTTCTAACAGAACTTATGGCTGGACTAGGTATTTTAATATAATAAATTTTTTGAACACTAAATTTTTCCTTAAATAAGATTAAGCCATTGTTCTTTATAGACTGGTTATGAATATGTACTTAAGATATTATTGAAAATGTGGTTCGTTTAGCAAGGTTTTTTTACATTCCCCATTTATTTACTTTCGCTATGATGATTTTAAATAAGGAGTCTAACATGTATACTTTTTATCAGTAATTTGCGTGGTATCAAATTCTGTCAGGATGGTCGAGCTGTTATAATTATGGCACATATTTAATCTAATTAATAATTTATTACTACAGTTTGCTGCGACTTATTTAAAAGTTTTTGTTTTGATACCTATTGCGTCGTGATATTTCCTACACCTTAGAATGGGACGGGTAGTTTGTATTGGTTTTTGAGTTGTATAAATTCAACTCTCACAACGTACGTGGGTTAGTTTATAGTTATTGGTAGTTAAGGGCTGTTGCTCTATGGGAAAAAGTAAGTGCTATTGTTATCCAATTATTGAGTCATCGTAGAGTTATAGTTGTATAAGTCGGTAAAAGCTGTGGATGTCTCCAATAAACTCTGTTGGAAAAGCTAAGTATTTTTGAGTATTGAGTCTTTGAGTCATAGTTATACAAATCAGTAAAGGCTATGTTTTATAACATGTCTCTAATAAAATTAAGAAAAGTCAGCTATAGAACAAGGATTTACCAAGGCAAATAGCTCTAATTTGCTTAGAACTGATTTGTTGATGCTGGGACAGTTTCTTGGAGCTAACAAAGATTTTTGTTCAGCAGAATTTAGAAGTGTAAAAACTTCTAAGTATATTAACATTCATTAAAAAGTATAATGGTTCAATAATAGATTTAATTTGAGGTTACTTTACTTTACAACTCGTGTTGTTTTAAAACTATTAAATACTTACAAATGTATTTCTATATTTTAGATCTTCTAGGCCATCCTATGTAGATGACGCTGTAAGCTTTGTATAGATGAAACGAGATGGAAAGCTGTGTATTGTGAAAGGCAAAATCTGCCCTGAACATAAGGTCCATGCAAAGTTGTATGGAGTGACTGTTGTAGTTGACGAAGAAGACGAACAAAACAAGTCCATTGAATGGCACGACTGTATTCCTTCACAAGAAGGGTAAGCATGCTATTGCATTCCTCAGATGGTCACATCTTAAGAGTGAAGAGCCATCATGTACATCCGTGAAATGTTACTGGATGAAGTTCAAACTATTGATAGTTGGGACTACCATAAAATATATAACAGAAAAAGAGTTATCTAAAGGTATGCCCAGCTTGCCTTAAAATTTTGGAGTTTTCAAAATGTTTTTGGTAGAAGGGAAGAAAAGGAAGCTAAACAACTGTGAGATACTAAAGTATCAAAAAGATTATGTTTGTAAGTAGAACAAAAAACTTATCAAAAAATATCATGTGATATATTTTTGAAAAAGGTTGAAATAACAGACGCAGATATCAAGGAACTTGAGGAAATGACAAGAAACCAACATCAAAGCAGCCTATGGCATGAATTAAGATATGGCAAAGTGACAGCCTCACGGGCATTTGAATTTAGTTCGTGAACATCTAAGGATGGTACTTTAAGTTCGTTAATTATTATTAAGGGAAAATTCCTGACACACTGGCCATGAAACGTGGCAGAGATTTAGATGACGAAGTGGGGAAGACGGTGAGTAATAAAAAAATAAAAATGTGTGGTTTGTTGCTCTCTGAAACATATCCTATGATAGCAGGTCCTGATGGGATCTGTGAAGATGCCATAATAAGATGATGAAAAGGCAATGGTTAATTACGTGAGAAATGGGAAGCCAACTCAGAAGTTTAACGTGCAGATGCAGCTGCAAATTTATTTAACTGGACTTAAAAGAGGCCACTTTTGAGTAGCTAATTCTAATTACAGGGCAAATAAAGAACTAAAAATATTAAGTGTGACGTATGATGATAATTATCTATTAGATATTTTGAAAGCGGTGATGACGGTGACTCTAGAAAACCTCCGTCAAAAGCATCCATCGATCAATCTTCCGCCGTTCCTACCGCTGCCTTCCGATTCTTCATATCAAGCTTTACAAATTACCGATAAAGACACTTTCGAGGCAATTATGTCATTTTCAAGTGGCTCTGCTGGCGGCATTGACGGTATAACGCCACAACATCTGAAAGATCTTGTAAGCGTTTCCGCCGGTGATGCTGGCACTTCTTAATGATATTACAAAATTATGCAACTTAATGCTTTCCGGAAAAGTAAATTCTAAATTTGTTCCTTTCTTATACGGGGCAAGATTATGTGCCTTTAAAAAAAAAGATAATAGATCCGTCCTATTGCTATTGGTTCTACCTTTCGAGACGCTTAACTTCAAAATTAGCATGTAGGCACATAATCTCCGGCCTTAAAACAAAATTCCAGCCTGTTCAACTAGGCTTTGGAAGCAAAGGCGGCTGTGAAGCGGCTGTACATTCCGTTCGAACTTCTTTAAATACTAATGATTTGGATGTACTTCTGAAGGTTGACCTAAGGAATGCTTTTAACTCCATTGATAGAACGACTCTGCTGAACGAAGTGGCTAACCATACACCAGAAATATATATTTGGCAATGTTATAGTAAAAAGAGTAATTTATTTTACGAAGACAATATTATTGATTCTGCTGTCGGCGTTCAGCAGGGAGATCCGCTAGGACCAGCATTATTTAGTTTGGGAATTCATCCAATTATTTCAAAATTGAAATCTAAACTTTATGTCTGGTACCTAAACGATGGTACGCTGGGAGGTAAATTTGACGATGTACAAAGCGATCTTATCGAAATTATTAGACAATTTAAAAATATCGGTCTCGATTTAAATAATTTCAAAAGTGAACTTTTCTTTTCTGAAAAAGAAAGATTTCTTTTTCCGACAAAATAATTTTGACCCAAAATTGTAAGTACAGAGGCTTAGATTGGCTAAAACCAGAAAGTCGTTTCTTGGTAGATGCATCAACTTTTATAATAAAATAGATGACATCCACAAACAATTAACTATAAACAATTTCAAACAATTTGTAAAAGCTGCCTTAACGGCAAGGGCCTACTATAATGTCCAAGAATACATTGAGGAAAAGGATGTGTGAAAATGACTCTTGCTCTGCACTTGCAAGACCCCTGGCTGCTGCTGATTATATATACCTAAATAAGTTTGTATACTTGCATCAAAAAAAAAAAATGAACAAGACCTTGCATCAAAAAAAAAAAGAACAAGACAGTAGTTTCTTGCCGGTTCTTCTCTGTGCGTGAGAATATTGTCTTACCATCAAAAAGAAGCTTGCAACAAGTTTTAAATTTAATTCCTATCGAACCAGGGATGAATAACGTCATCCTAGAAGACTTAAAAAGAAGGGTAAAGAAATTACCGGAAGAGAAAAAATTGTGCACATTAATATTTGAAGAAGTTGCACTAACCCCAGGAATGCATTATTCAAATATCTGGGATCAAGTTATTGGGTTAGGAGTACCCCGACTGGTAAACATATAAAAATAGCAGACCATGCTTTGGTCTTTATGATAAAAGGCATAAAAGCTAAATTTAAGCAATCTTTATGCTTTACATTTTGTCAAGGTGCAACAAAAAGAGAAATATTAAAAACCTTAATTAAGGATGTAATTAAAAAAAATCCATTCATGTGGATTAAAGGTAGTCGCAACCATTTGCGACCAGGGAGGACCAAGTATGGCTGCCTACGCACTGGCGACCATGGTCGCCTCGACCTGGCCGCGGCGGCCAGTGAATTCTGGACTTTATATGGCCATCGCTATAGCCCCTACGCACTTAGCGGCCACCGTTGGCCGCGGCGTCTAATTTGATGCCACGCGACCAGCGACCAATTGTGGCCGTCGAGAACATCACTTCTGTATTAAAATTCATCAGTGCTACCGCATCGGCCGCGGCGACCAGACGTGTATAGCTACAGAGTGATTATTTTACAATGGCCAATAATTTCGACACGGAAAGGTTCATAATTGAAGTTGAAAATAGAAGAGGTTTATGGGATTTATCATCAAATGATTACTCCAATAAAGATGTTAAGCGGCAGTTGTGGCTTGAACTGATCAATATATTTGGCGGTGAATCCATGGAAGATAAAGAAAAGGCAGAACTTGGTTAGTCTTTTATTTTATTATGCCTTAAATTAATAATGCGATGAACTACAATAAACGCAGCTGGTGCTGTAGTAGCGTTCGACACGTATATGTAACATGAGTGATTTTTTTAAAAAGTTGTTCCGTTCATTTGAAATCTAAGAAATTTTAGCAAATAGGTAATTGTCAAAAGTATAACTATTTTATTTCTACTATTTTTCGCTTTGCACATGAGTTTTGACAATTATTTGCTAAAATTTACCAGGTTTTCGTAATGATTGGAATAACTTTTTAAAAAGATTACTCATACCGTATGTGCGTTCGATGCCATTTTGTTTACGGCGCGCAATGGCGGCTCGCGGCTCGCAAGTGCCTCAACGCACAAACTGAGCAGCCGTCGTAGGTACCCATATATTTACAAATTGTGCCAGGGCAAGCGACCATCGGTACTGAAGTAGTTTGCGAATATATCTCGATATTCGGTTGATGTTCTATTTGCTCTATTAGGTAAACTTGCAGGTATTTCTAATAAAGCCTCTGGTACAGTCAACGTGTCCTTGAAATCATATCCGTCTCTTTCTCGCACATAATTATGAAGCACACATAGAGCTTTTATAATCACAACTGCAAATTCTTTCTTGACGTTTAGGGGTCGGTGAAGAATCTGCCATTTATTGGCTAATATTCCAAATGTACATTCAATATAGCGGCGGGCACGGGATAGTCAATAATTAAAATTAGTCTTTACATTATTTAAGTTTCTCCCAGCATACGGTCGCAACATGTTCCGATAGTGGAAACGCCTCATCACCCACTAAAATGAACGGCATTGGTTGGCCATTTTCTTTGATGGGGTTATTGCTCGGAATATCGAGATCATTATTTAAAAGCCTATGATAAAATACAGAGTCTTTGTAAATTGACGAATCCCTGCATTTGCCGTATGCTCCAATGTCTACGTAAAGAAATTTATAATTTGCATCACATATTGCAAGTAACACGATTGAAAAATAATTCTTGTAATTGTAATAAAGAGATCCCGAATGTTGTGGTTTGATAACTCTAATGTGCTTGCCGTCGATGGCTCCGATGCAATTAGGAAATTGGGCGTATTTTTTAAAACCACCCGTTTGAAGCTTTCAGCCGTTTGAATCCACTTATCTCTGGTCAATTGTGGCATCACAATTGGTTTTAATATCTCCCATATTGCTTCACAAACATCAAATACTATTTCCGATGCTGTAGGAAGCCCTATAATATAAATATATAAAATAAATTCACATTAATAAACATAATATTAGTTTTGTAATATGTACTACAAAACTAATATTATTGATTTACAGGCATGACTCTCCAAAAAGATGGAAAAACCTTAGAGACTGTTTCACAAGAGAGCTGCGCCGTCTTAAAGATGTCAAAAGTGGTTCTGCTGCAAAACGTAAAAGTCAATACACCTATTTCAACCAATTACTGTTTTTGAGATCAGTGCTGGACACAAACGCAACAGAAAATAGTCTTGAAGAGGCAAGTCAAGAAAATGAAAGTGCAAGATCTTCTGATCTTGAGACTCAACAATCTGCATCAAAGTCGCTTAGAACAAAAAGGAAGAAAAAAATACCAAACGAAGAATCCGATACAGACCCTTTAATTTCAGTTCTGCATAAGACCATAGCGAAAATAGAGAAGACAGATACACAGAATGATTCAAATTGTGACAGACTGTTTCTTTTATCCCTCCTCGACAGATTTCAAAATATCCCTGCTGTAATGAAGACCAAAGCGAAAATGGAAATCATGGAAATTATAGAAAAATATCAACCGAACTATGAACCAACAGCGCGCATAAACTATTCAAGAAATTTCAATACTCTTTACGACCAAGAATATGACCCGCATCAACCGAATTATTCAGGTTATTATATAATCCTTTAGTCTTTCTCTCGCAAAGTAATGGATGCAACCAAAACTGTCTTTTACGTGAAATCTTCCGTTTTCGTTTTCGTAGTAAATACACAAGCACAGTTAGCGTGATTATCTTCTGCACGTCCATCTTGACACACCCTTGGAAGCCGACTGCAATTTTGCGGCCGTCCGCATGTCGCGCTTGCCTACGCACCGGCGATCATGGCCGCGGCGGCCTTGCCGCGTCTATGGTCGCCAGTGCGTAGGCTGCCTATGAGTGCAATTAATAGTTTGTACAGTGAAATTAAGGAAAAATTTATGCGACAAAATAAAGAATACAAAAGCTTTTGAGGTTGATGACATAAGAGTTTTGCCAATTTTGATTCCCCTCATTTGATCAATTGGGTGTAAGAAATAATTTCCTTGAAAAAATTTCAGGTTTATTCAAGGTGGTAAAGTGAAAATTGACAAACAGGAAACTTTAAAAATGTTATTAGATGTGGTTTGTGAGGATGACATAAGATTGTTAAATAAATTAACTGAGCACCACGTAATAAAAGAAAAAAATCCAAAAATGAAGGTAGGTGACTTTACGATTTTTAGCAAGTATGTATAAGCTTTAAAACATCGCTCACCAGTATTTTCACTGAACTATCCCTTTAGGAGCGTAATGTGTTTTAGTCAACCCCAGTTTCTTATCAATTTTATTTTCTTTATTCTTTTTTAATGAAATATACAGCGTGTCGTTACAACCGCGACAATAAATGAACACACGTCTAGCCCTACTTGCCAATAATCATAAAAAATATTAACGTTAAAAGATCCATAATTAAAAGAAAAAATATTTTTCAAACAAACTAATTAAGTAAAAAAGAAACAAAATTTGTAACGTCCTATACAACTACAACTGACTGATTCATACATTCAGAAACTTTTTCATTCGTTGCCACAACGTCGCATTACAAGCCTCTTCTTCTAACAGTATGTTTTGTCTCTTTTATACACTCAGCATCACAAAAATCGCACCTCTCTGAGTTTGCGCGAAAAATGGCTGTATTGGCTAGAAACGAATTATATTTATATAAATATTGGTATGTTTGAAATGGGTATTTGAATAGCTTTACATTATTAATAAAAAAATCATGAAATCATTAAAACATTTATCATTATAGAGTCATTCAACGACACCTGATTGCAGCCACAAAAGAAAACAGCAGCATAACTTGGCACTGTTATGCCCCGGCTAGACAGCTCCCCACTAAAGTGGGCATTCGTGGATTGCCAGAAACAACACACCCGGAGAGCATAACAAATGCGTTACGCGATCTAGGGTTCCCGGCGACCTATGCAAAATTAATACCGCCTATAAGAAGCCGAAGCCGATGCGTATTCTTCGTGCAGCTCGAGCGCCTCAATAATAGAGAAGCAGCCCGACTGTACGACACTAATGAACTCCTCAACATGCCGGGCGTCCAAATTGAGGGGTGGAAGGGGAGAACCGGCCCACCCCAGTGCCATAGATGCCAAAAATTTGGACATTCGTCGGCAAATTGCCACAGACCGGTTGTCTGTGTTCGCTGCGCAGACAACCATATAGCAGCCAACTGCCCAGTGCCGCTAACCACCCCCGCACGTTGTGCAAACTGCGGGCAGAGACATCCGGCTAACGATAGGCGCTGTCCCGCGTTTTTAAGAGAGGCTAGAAAACGCGGGATAGCAATCAATCCGCCGCGGCCGAACACAAGAAATGTGGGAACGGGATGGACGACCGTCGGACGAAACGGAGATAGTCGCAGCGGGGGGACAGCCCCCCCCACCTCAGACTTCCCCCCTCAGCCCAACGAACAAGGCGAGACTATATCAGCAACCGCATTACAAACCCCTACCGCAGTGCGAACCACTGCGGGGGATATATATAGACAACCTGTCTCGAGCGCGCGCCCGCATTCTACATACGTCGCCGACGCCGCCTCCACTGCCGCCACCTTTGCAAGACCAACCACGACAATAACGACACTCCAGCCACCAGCCAACCCAGCTACAAATAGGGTCAGAAGCCATCGTCGAAGACGCCGCGGACGTGATGCACCCGCGGCCTCATCACAAGACGAAAGAGTCGAAAGACCGTCAACTCGAATCCACAAGACGAACGGGAACAAGCTACCACTACGGAGACGGAGTCGGCGCTACCTCACCGCAAATCTTCTACCATACATACACGCTGGCCGAGGACCGTATCCTCCGCGCCGTAATTAAACGCATTCCCGCCAACATTCCCACCGAAACGGTGCTAGACTCCCTTAAGGAGCAAAACCTCCCCGTTCATGCGGTCCACCGCATGAAAAGCAAAAGGAAGCGCAGCCCTATTGACATGGTCATGGTCCACTTAGACCTCTCTCCAGAGGGGAAAGCAATCTTCAATATTGAATCCGCCCGTAACTGTTTTGCCAAGCCCAGGTGCGTAAAGTGCCTAGGCGACTACGGCACCCCGGAATGTCCCAGACCAAGGGACAAGGCCCTTCTGGCCAACTACGGACCACCCGCATGCGTCCTCTGCCAGTCGGAAGACACACAGCCAATTATCTTGGCTGCCCGAACGCACCTAAGCGCAGACCCATTAGGCCCGCCCCTCAGGCAACAAGACGGCAGCCGATTCCAACGGCCGCCTCATTCCCTCCTCTTCGCCCCGCGTGGCAGAACCCCATGGCCCCCGCTTGGGCCAAACCGAATCCGCCACTCGCGGAACCCAAAGCTGCCCCTCAACCGGCGCTCATCCCAACACCACCAAAAGCGGCCGGGGGCAACCCCCTGGAC